GAGAATTTTAGAAAAACCAACATTTTAGTTGTAATGGTGCCAGAAGAATCTGGAACAAACACCACAGTGCAGCGTTCAAGGTGCCGGCATACATTTGAACCGTTCAAATGCAGCTTTCTCTAGAGATTCTCGATGATCAGGATGAGAAATGCTGATGAGCGCATGAGCTCTCTGGCGAAGCGTCTTCCCAAAGAGATAAGCAATTCCATGTTCTGTGACTATATAATGGACATGAGCCCTTGTGGTCACAACTCCTGCACCTGAACAAAGAGAAATGTTCTGGTAAAAAAAAAGATAATTCACTAACACATCATATTGTTCCTCCAGTTAATTCATCCTGCATTTCATGTGTGCTTTCAACGTCAGGACAGTAGTTAATTCATTCACTTAACTGCATCGGTTATTCAGAGGCGTCAATTAATTAAACACTAAACCAACTAAATCTTTAAGTATGGTACCTTACATTTACATGTATAATATTTTTATACATTATAAGTTCAACTGTATCAGGTCTACCCCAAGATTCCAAGGACCTTAATGCAAAATAAATTACCATGCTTAATAAGGGGAGAAATCTTGCTTTCTCCCTTGTTTGTTACAGATGGAAGTGCAATGATTGGTTTTCCTAGTCCATCTAAAGCTTCAGCCGCACCACGGATAAAATCCACTTGGCCTCCGAAACCTAAATTCAAGGCAGAATATTATTAATTACACAGCACATTAAACTTGTTTTAATCACAGGATTTAACAATTTAACACTACTGTGAAATCCTTAATGGTACCTGCACCTTGTCATGGTAGTGGGCTTGAGTACCTCAGTGACCCCAAGAGCTATGCTAGCGGTAGCATAGCTACTGGTAGGGCCTCCTTAGCCAGATTGGTCGTGGGGGAGAGGTCAGACTAAGACAGGTACCCTGGTCTTCCAGGTTGGGGGTTGGTCACAAGGCTAACAACCTTGCACCGTAAACAGGAAGGTGTTTCGAAACCTCGGACAAACGGACCTAACAGAAGGACCGAATGGAAGAGGAGAATTGAGGAGGCCATGGACCGAATATGGACCAGAGAGCCATAGAAGAAGAAGAAGCAGGTGAAATCAATAATCAGAAATTCGTTTGAAAATGTTGCTAAATGACAATAATCATAAATGTGACAAAATCTTAATCTTACCACACCCAAATCCACAACAGGCCATTTTTCATTGCATCATAACAACTATGCCGTTAAGTTAAATTGTAAGAGCACAGCTTTAAAACTTTTACCAAAAGATAGCAACAACACAGAAAACTGTCATGTTTACAATATGGTGTCCTAGAAAGTGGGACTGTAAAGATTTACCTGAATACATCCTGGTTCCAATGGAGTCTGACACGACTTGACCTGTCAAGTCAATCTCTATACATGAGTTAATGGCAGTCATTTTTGGGTTCTGGGCTATAATACCTGTGTTATTTACATATGCAACATCACGCATCTCTGTAACAGACAAAAATATTTGCCACTAAAAATATATGTGTATATATACATAAAGAATGTGATAAAATCTTCAACCAGGATATTAAACACTATTTTTTTTGTAGTGTTCTGTCTGACGACAGGATCTTATGAACAGGATCTTTCCATCCTTTTCTCGGACTGGGACCTATTCATATACGTTCTTGGCAGTTGATCCAGAAGTGGTTTGCCATTGCCTTCTTCTGTGAGAAACCGGGGAAGCCCCCGGAGGAAAACTCCGTGTTGCCTAGACCACGGCCTTGCCCAACACAAGTTATAAATTCGGGCACCACCGGGAATCGAACCCGAGACTCCAGGATTACAAAGCTAGTGTTCTGACCGCTAGGACACAATGATCTGATGAAACTGTGCAAGTAAGAAAATAATTCTTATAGCTCCGTATATGATTAAACCTTCACAAATTAAACAAAAACAATTCCCATGACTGAATTAATTGATTATAACTGGAAGTCTATCATTACATTAGTGAGAAATTACTTACCTACATATGGATTATTGTCAACAAAATCATACAAGGCACGGGTTCCAATAAGGAAACTGCCAATGATTTTGCCTTTATTGATTGTCTTGCGATTATTTGTGATGCATCCTTTATTTACAAGATCAATAATACCTCCGGAAAACATCTCTGAGTGAATACCAAGATCCTTATGATTTGTCAGTTCTGCCAACACGGCATCAGGAATGTTTCCGATACCTACAGGAATAGCGGGGGGAAAATAAATTAAATAACGGAAGGAATAACAAGTTTTTACATGATAAGACTGCATGAAAAAATTTAATCATGCTTAATTTCACATAAGATGACAACTATAAGACAGCCTGTAATTTTATAAGGTTAAAATTTTTCTATTTTCTGTCCTTGAATATCAGACTTCTGCAAAACTTCAAACTTTCAAGTTTTCACTCATCAATGCCTCTTTCCTGTCACTCCAATAAGCATGATTATCTTAGATTGGTGTGCTCAAGACATGCACTAAACAGAATCTAGATGGGCCCCACTGAACTTTCTCATACCCAGTTAGAGACATAAATGAAAACAGTAAATATATGTACTGGAAACCCAAAGGCTTCTACCGTCACTAAAATCTCAATTACTTCATTTAATTTCTCACTAACAATATATTATATACACAATGTATGTGAAAATAAAAGTTCACATTATTAATAAAACCTGAAATTGCCGTGGGTTGGATGGAATTCTTTTGAGGGTCACTTCTAGCCAATGGTCCATTCTTTACACATCCCTAGCTTACAACTTTAAGAATTAATATTTCCAGAAGATACACGTAGAAATAATGTTGCCAATACAGTAATGAACATGGAAATCATTACCCATTTGAAGAGTTGCTCCATCCTCTACCAGGTTTCCTGCAATCTGCTTTCCAATTTTAGTCTCAATATCAGTTGGTGGACGGCCACCATGTTCGGGAAGTGGCGAATCCACCTTCACAGCAAAATCAAAATGTGACTGGTGAACCGTTGCATCTCCGAATGTCCTTGGCATCTGTGGATTCACTTGAGCTGTGGAAAATTAGAGCAAAACATTACACAATGAAGAATACAAAGCTAGAATTTGCCTTGCACTTTACCATACATCAGTCGCTGAGGCATTCTTAACCTTGGCACAAGACTGACATGAAAAGTCAGTTTCATGTTCTGGCCACTTTACCCCTGGGGAAAAAAAATCCCCATTTCACTTTGAATAAGAGGGTAGGAAAGCTCAAATGCCAGTGAGGATGCAGTAGTAAAGAGTTGAATCCCTGCCCCCATTAGAACGACACTTGTCTGCAGGCAGTCATTCCTCTTACATGATGTTCAATATTTTAGATGCATTGGACATTTAAATTTCAAAATGAATTCTTGTGAAATAGTAGTGTAAAATGATAAATAAAGTAAAAGTTTGGCCTTTGTGCATTTCAACTTTCCATTCGTACAATTTAAAAACCAGTTTCAGCATT